GTTCTTTTTGTATCACTAACTCAACAATCTCATCAAATAGCTTTCTCATTTGTTTCTTTTGTGGCTCTCATCACATAGCTTTCTCATTTGTTTCTTTGCCTAATGAACATGTCATTCTTGTTGAAGAAGATCATGCTCACCATTACATTTTTCACTGACAAACGAAACGTTCACATATTTGGCATGGATTTTCTTTGATTCATTGCACAAAGTTATATTCCAACAATTCGTAGTCCTAACAGTACTCTTAGATTGAGTTATAACTAATGGAGTAAATATACATTCTACTCCTGCCGGAGCACCAAATCTTTTGACAGGCCAAAGAAAGTTTTCTTCAACTTCAAGCATGGCTTGTAGTATATGTCCTTAGCCACACCATTCAAATGAGACAGCAGTGATTGTTACCTTTTCATACAGAAAACAAACTATCATGTTACATACATTCCCAATAAATCATGCAAACACATACAAACGTAGAAATTTCAAGGTGCTTATTGTGAGGGACTAGGGGTGACAATGGACCCGACCTGACGACCGGACCCAACCCAGCTCTGGGCATGGATCCAAAAATTGGACCCGGCAAGTCAGGTCCACATCCAAATCTTGAACTGAAAACCATTTGAGTCAGGGGCCGGGTTTGGGTATACGTGGGCCTGAGCCGAATAGCGTTAACATTTAAATAAGGGTGTGGTTTTTATAAGGTTGTAGCCTTAAACAATCCAATTAAGGCTCACCTCCAAATTTTATCATAACATGTAATTTTGGTAAAAAAACATTCTTAGGATTATCTCAAAATCTATTTTCATATCTAATTATAAAATTTTAAACTCCAAAAATTGTTAAAATCAAGTAGATATATAAACATATGAAAATCTTGAAAATGGACGGTCTAGATAATGTATTGCAAGATGCACTATTTTTGAGACTCAAAACCTTTTTTTTTTCTTTATATTCATATATCTTGATGTCGAGATGACCAATTAGAAGTTTTTTCAACATTAAAGCGATATTTTTTTATGGATTTTTGCGGTGCATCTGTAATTCTATATTTTAAAGTTGCAACCTTATATAAACTTTTCCATAATATTTAAATAAATATAAGAGAACCGTTATGGTGGATGCTGGTGCCGAAGGCCATGCCATTCTTGACCTCGGGCATCCACCTCTCTTTGGAATTTATTTTAATTATAATATTAAAGGGAAAAGTTTATATAGAGCTGAGGCTCTAAACAATCAAATTTGAGCCCACCTCAAAACTTTCACTAGAAGATGTTGTTTTGATGCTCAAATATCTTCAAATTGATCATCTCGACATCAAGATGCCTGGATATAAAAAAAAATGGATTTCAAGTTTTAAAAATAGTGTATTTTGTAATGCATTTTTGAACCGTCAGTTTTCAAGTTTTCATAGATATGTCGATTCTTGCTATTTTTGAAGTTTTAAACTTCATAAATAAATATGAAAATATATTTTAAGGCTATCACAAAGATTTTCAATATTGAAACCACATTGCTCGATACTATTTGAAATTAGGCGCTAAATTGATTGTTTAGAGCCTTGAAGTTTTAAACTTCATAAATAAATATGAATATATATTTTAAGACTATCACAAAGATTTTCAATATTGAAACCACATTGCTACGTAACACTTAATTGAAAGTTAGGCTATAAATTGATTAGTTTAGAGTCTTGAAAGTTTTAACCTNTAATAAATAAATATAGTAAAATATATTTAAG